ATATATCCTTATTCATGTTTATTCGACTAGTTTCAGAAACTGCTTATGGTATTGTCGAATAATAACGATTTTTCTTTTACGGATTGGTTTGAAATTCGAGATAAAACAGTTGAGATGATGAACATCTGTTTAAGAATTGGTATGGTTAACTCCCAGCCTGACTAAAATACAAAACCGTGAACAGATGTTAAACAACATTTCAAAGGCACAGCTTTTGTTAATATTTAGACTGTAAAATTAGTATGGTACATTATTCCATGTTTTCCAAACTTCGGATGAAATGTTAAAATAACTTTTGAAGTCCGACGTTCAAACTTAGTATCAGCTAAACGATATAATAATAAAAGTGAAATAACAAACACTATATATATATATATATACGTATAAGTCACACCGAGGCCACAATAATAAACACGCATGAGGAACATTTCGAAATTTTAGAAAAATTAAAAACACGTCTACAGAATGATGTTGATTTAACGAAGTTACTTGATATCCTTTAGAACAATATTCAATTAACGAAGTTACTTAATATCCTTTAGAACAATATTCAATTAACGAAGTTACTTGATATCCTTTAGAACAATATTCATTTAACAAAGTTACTTGATATCTATTAGAACAATATTCATTTAACGAAGTTACTTGATATCCTTTAGAACAATATTCATTTAACAAAGTTACTTGATATCCTTTAGAACAATATTCATTTAACGAAGTTACATGATATCCTTTAGAACAATATTCATTTAACAAAGTTACTTGATATCCTTTTGAACAATATTCAATTAACGAAGTTACTTGATATCCTTTAGAACAATATTCATTTAACAAAGTTACTTGATATCCTTTTGAACAATATTCAATTAACGAAGTTACATGATATCCTTTAGAACAATATTCATTTAACGAAGTTATATGATATCCTTTAGAACAATATTAATTTAACGAAGTTACTTGATATCCTTTAGAACAATATTCATTTAACGAAGTTACATGATATCCTTTAGAACAATATTCATTTAACGAAGTTACATGATCTTCTTTTGAACTGTGTCCATTTAACACAGTTACGTGATTTTTTAACAATGTTAATTTAACAAAGTTACACGATATCCGTTGAAACAATGTTCGTTTAACAAAGTTAGATGATGTCCTTTTGACCTATGTTGATTTAACAGAGCTAAATGTCTTTTTGATCATAGTTCAGAAACATACCACAGCGTCTTTAAAAAAAATCTTAATTTGACGAAGTAGAATTATCAGTAGCTTGTTCTCACAAGCTTAAAAAGCTCAATCTTTTTAACACAATGACAATTTAAAATATCATTATCTTACCTCAAAAGTCACAGTATTTAAATTTTTATCTAAAATAAACATAAACTATTATGTATTTCGAAAAAAATAAAAAATAACTTGTTTTATATGTACATACGAATATTTTACACATAAATAAATATATATTGTAGTTTGAAGCATTAATTCCCAGCTGACATCAAATGCTGTGGTATAATAAGAATGAGCGTATTATAGAAACCAATGAAAAATTATGAAGTTTTATACCGCTTATAAAACATAAGGATATCAATCCATGTATTCGACTACTTATGCACAGAATGGGGCCAAAAGGCCAAGTCAGAGTTTTCTGTGATTCAAGCACAGCTGTCCCTAATATTGGAGTTGACTGTTACGACTATAACGCCCCTCAACTGAAAGTACAAAGCGTGTTCACAACATATCGCGGCTCGAACCTTGGACCTTCAATTCCGCATAAAGGCTAGCTAAGCACTAGACATCGCCTAACCTATTAAAAAAAACGACTTATGTAGTGGTAGGTTCCTGTGGCTGTTATCTATGACAAATTGTTACTAAACTCTTGAATTCTATGTTTTTTCTGACAAATTTACCGTTTCATCTCCAGCTGAGACAGTTTCATTTTTCTAACAGGGTGGTTGGCCTTTGGAATGGGTTACTTTCGGATGTTATGCAGGCAGTAAATTTAAATGAGTTTAAGAGAAATCTTGACAAGTATATGAATGATAAGGACTGGATTAAAGATTGTTTTAAATCCACTTATTAATAGTTTCAGTTTAGCTTAGAGGATGGAAGAACCGACATGGATCAATAGGTCCCATGTTGTCCCAAAACGTCATGTCAAGTTATTTCTAATAAAGTTTTCACCTGTCGTTTTTAAAGGAAGTATATTGAGAAGTCGACTTGTATAAGCTTTCCTCATTCACCCACATACTAAAAATCTTGTTATTTATGTTCTTGGAGGTATAGGTAAAATAGAGTTACAGATTAAATGCGCATTCTGTGCATGTATTTAAATCCTCTGGGTAATTCAAATTCAATATATCAGAGATGTCCGTCTGACTAGTGTCTTGAAGTTGTTATAAGGAGCTAGTTTAATAAATTTCAATGTAATTTAGTAAAGAATCTGAGGTGGATCTCCTCAGATTTAGTTTAAATGTCGGGCGAACAGTTCGAATTTGGCAGCCATTTTGAACGTTACTACGAAACACATGCATATCCTCCCGCCATTCCCGTGAACACCGCTCGAGATGAAGATACATCTTTTAAACACATAATACAGCTCACCCCACGATGGTTCAGCTGTAAGTCCGAGGGCTTACAACGCTAAAAATCGTGTTTCGATACCCGCGGTTCGCAGAGCTTTGTATGTAACAACACACAAACTGTAGGAAGTTTAATAGCTGGATGACATTCATTATCTAATAGAGTACTTGTTTGGTTGTTATTTAGAGTAACGTCGCCATGGTTATCCAACTAAACACACGATTGATTTGTTTAATACATGACATAACTTATTCTAGATTAAACCATGTAACAATATTATCGTTTCATTTGATGTCAGGGACAAAAATACGTTATATACTAATTTAAAATGTTATCAGCTTGTCCAACTACGTTCTTCACTCGAACCAACATAAAAATGAGAAACACGTAACTTGTCCAGCATTAAGTTCTGACAACCACAGAGAAGCGAGGATTCATACAAATAAAAAGGTAAATATTTTACTTTGTTAATAAAACACCAGAAGTTATGTTACAGAACATGAAATGTTTGTGTTCATAAATATTTGAGGGTTGCATGACTAAGTAAACGTACAAAAAATTACAAACTATTAGGGAGAGATCTGAACTTTATTGCGTGCAAGTGACCAAAACTAACTTTAAATATTACGTAGAAAATAAATAATTTATATTATAAAAAAACATCCTAAAAATATTGCAAGTAAATCGGGCCAGATGTAGCCTATTAGTTAACGTGCCAGGCTAAAGGTCAATAGATCCATGGTTTGAGCCTGCGACATGCTGCTAAACACGCAGCACATTTCCAGCTATAGATGAGATTTAAACGTAACAGTTAGAAGCTTTATTCAGATGTCAGAATCCACTTAGGTGGCGAATATTACCAAGTGGATAGCTGCTTCTAGTTGTCAGTTAAAAAATTAGGCTTGTCTATATCTAAACTTTAGAGCCCAAGACTTAGCTCTTCAGCTCATGTGTCCTTGAAGTTTGAAAATATATTAAATACAGTAAGCACGTTAATTGTATTATGTTAGGCAAGAGGGACAGTTAACCCCTCCCCCCAAAAGGAAGTATATAGTACTGAGTTGGTGTACAACTACAAGTCACATTTTTAATTTCCACTTTAGAAACATCTTAGAACTTCCAAGAGAAGCTACCGAGGCTTCTGGATTTCCACAAGATTTCGCCCATTCCAGAATTAAATCTCAAATGATGTTCTTGATTTAGCAGTTATTTATTTGGAAATGGAAGTTTTATAGAAAAATTCTAAGAGCTTAGAGGCCAGAAATCAAGTGAGCGAACCGCGTGTCTGAATTTCCCACACGATTTCAATATCCGCTTCCTTAGAAAAGTTCCAGCTTCACATAGGAACAGTAAACGGCGTTATGATACGTTAAGTTCATTCACTTATATAAAAGTAATTTAAAAGTTATCCTTAGAAGAGCACTACGTTGTTGGAATTATCTTTTTATGAAGTGGTTGTTTTGAAGGAAGACCTGAATGGTTTAACTAACAAATTTAGTTTTAACAACGCAATCAGTTCAAAATATTTATAAACTAACTAACATGAGAAGAGTATTTCATGACCGAATTTTATATGAAGCTATAGATTGATTATAAGAATTTACTTTGTATATTATAGTCCTTCAACGTTATTGAAATACCGTGTCGTTTACTAATATTTATTAAAAGAATTTACTTTGTATATTATAGTCCTTCAACGTTGTTGAAATAACGTGTCGTTTACTAATATTTATTAAAAGAATTTACTTTGTATATTATAGTTCTTCAACGTTGTTGAAATAACGTGTCGTTTACTAATATTTATTAAAAGAATTTACTTTGTGTATTATAGTCCTTCAACGTTATTGAAATACCGTGACGTTTACTAATATTTATTAAAAGAATTTACTTTGTAT